GGGTATACTTACATAATGGGTGTGGTGTGCACCAACTGGGGGTTGGACACGCTTGAAGCACTGGCACAGGGGAGGAGGGGTGGCAGGGACAATATATGTAACCCCAACAATATTTGTACCGCCATAATATAATGAAATAAAAGGAGGGGAAAAAAATAGCTTTTCCTATGAGTCCCAAACTCCCCAACCTGATTTCAAAGCCTTGTCACTTGCCTAGGTTCCTGATCAAATTTCCATAGGTAATTTTTCTTTGAGTCTCTGCCTGAGACCCTTTCACCCTTTGCATTTCATCACCCTTTGCATTCACCCTTTGCATTTCATCAAACATATTACATAAGAAGAATCATTTTCCTCCAGCAGTACTTTAATCTCTTATTTCTGATGGTAACAGCTGCTTCTGCTTCCAATTCATTGCCTTTAAAATCAAATCTAATAATCTAGCTTCATTTTTCCCTCCTGAATCTCCATTAGGCCAAAGACTTTAAACACTTGCTCAGGGTTTGCCCATGCTACTTACACTTGTTTTGTTGATTACCTGAGTCTATTTTTCTCCAGCAAGTAGAGAATCTCAGGACAAGGACCTTCTCTATCCTCAGTACTCCAGTCTCTTAGGACCTAGATCTGTCAACCTGACTGCTTAGGACAAGCTTCCAGAGTGAGTGGTTTTTTAACTGAGGGTTGGGACTGTTTGTATAAGGAGTAGGAAGAACTGACTCAGACTCTTTATTGCAAAGCCAAGAATTTGGCAAGGATTCAGAGAGCAGAAGTGATAAAATTATAAGATTTAGAGCTAGAAATGGCCTTACCCAGCATTTACAGATGAGGAAACTAAAGCCAGAGAAGTAAAATAGCTGGCTAGTTGGTGGTAGAGCGAAGCTTCTTAACTCCCAGGCTAGTGAGAACCTAAGACTGTGAGAGTCACATGTCAGGAAAGGAGAAGGATGCTGGGATTATTCAGCCTGGAGACATTTCAGGGGAGGATGGTCAGAGAAATAAAATGACACCCAGTGCTTCCCCCTACTATCCCCCACACACAAATACCACGTCCACACACATACCCATACTTCATCTTCTTGAAGGAAAGAGCAAGAGCATGAAGGAGAACTTTGTGACTAAAGCTTGATTCTAAAATACAAATGGAGGGCCTGGCGCGGTGGCTCACGCCTGTAATCCTAGCACTCTGGGAGGCTGAGGCAGGCGGACTGCTTAAGGTCAGGAGTTCAAAACCAGCCTGAGCAAGAGCAAGACCCCATGTCTACTATGAATAAAAAGAAAGTAATTGGCCAACTAATATATAGAGAAAATATTAGCCGGGCATGGTGGCGCATGCCTGTAGCCCCAGCTACTCGGGAGGCTGAGGCAGGAGGATTGCTTGAGCCCAGGAGTTTGAGGTTGCTGTGAGCTAGGCTGACGCCATGGCACTCACTCTAGCCTGGGCAACAAAGCGAGACTCTGTCTCAAAAAAAATAAAATACAAATGGAGATGGGCTTTTTTGAGGTGTAGTGGAGAACAGAAGTATTTACATTTGCTGGACTATGATATAAATAGTACCCTTAGTTTTAAACAATGTATAATCAATCATACATGGTAGCCTTGATTATTATATTAATCTGATTTTTCAGGCCATGTGATATCTAATAGGAAAAAAATTAAGAATTTCATTTATAGAAATTATATAAGATAGTTTAATAGTTTTTATTACTCATATATTTTTGAAATAAAATTTTTATGGTGAGCTGGGCACGGTGGCTCATGCCTGTAATCCTAGCAGTCTGGGAAGCCAAGGCAGGAGGATCGTTTGAGCTTAGGAATTTGAGACCAGCTTGAGCAAGAGCAAGATCCCATCTCTACTAAAAAAAAATAAGAAAAAATGAGTTGGACAACTAAAAATATATACAGAGAATATTAGCCAGTCATGGTGGCACATGCCTATAGTCCCACCTACTCGGGAGGCTGAGGCAGGAGGATGGCTTCAGCCCAGGAGTTTGGGGTTGGTGTGAGCTAGGCTGACGCCACAGCACTATAGCCAGAGCAACAGAGTGAGTCTCTTTCTCAAAAAAATAAATAAAGTTTATGGTGAAGAAAAAAGTTGAGTTCATATTGTTTTCTTTCAGAAAAGAATTTGAAAGCCTTATTAAATTTTTATAATCCCATAAACTCTTTCAAAGCTCCTTGAAACTTTGATTATCACATTTTCAAACTTTTGAACGTACCTACTTTATCCATGTTTAAAAGGTATTATGGGCCAGGCATGGTGGCTCACGCCTGTAATCCTAGCACTCTGGGAGACCGAGGCGGGCGGATTGCTCAAGGTCAGGAGTTCGAAACCAGCCTGAGTAAAAGCAAGACCCCGTCTCTACTACTATAAATAGAAAGAAATTAATTGGCCAACTAATATATATAGAAAAAAATTAGCTGAGCATGGTGGCACATGCCTGTAGTCCCAGCTACTTGGGAGGCTGAGGCAGTAGGATTGCTTGAGCCCAAGAGATTGAGGTTGCTGTGAGCTAGGTTGATGCCACGGCACTCACTCTAGCCTAGGGAACAAAGTGAAACTCTGTCTCAAAAAATAAATAAATAAATAAAATAAAAGGTATTATGTACATTTAACATCTTTGGCTATCTAAACTTTTTTCCATGAGTGAAAAAGCAAGGAGGAAGTGAGACATCCTTCCTGGTAAGTGCTGAGTGTTTCTGAATTTTGTTAACTAACTAAATCTGTCTATATTATGCTATGGTGAGTGCTTTCTCACGGTCACTAGTGACCTCCAACTACCAAGGCCAGTGAACTTTTACCAATTTTTCCTGCATTCTAACCTCTTTGTAGATCTGACCCCTGTTCATTTCTCTGATGTCTCTTAATCCTCATTTGCTATAACAGTATACAATCCCAGTTCTCCCACCTCTCTGACAGTGCCTTTGACTCCTTTGAGACTATTCCTGTGTCCTCATGTCCTGTCAACCTGGCATTTTAGCCGCTTAAGAGGGACTTTTAACCTGAAGAGTTAAAAGTGGTTTTTTGGGGGTTTTTTTGAGACAAAGTCTCACTTTGTTGCCCAGGCTAGAGTGAGTGCCGTGGTGTCAGCCTAGCTTATAGCAACCTCAATCTTCTGGGCTCAAGCAATACTACTGCCTCAGCCTCCTAAGTAGCTGGGACTACAGGCATGCGCCACCATGCCCGGCTAATTTTTTCTCTATATATTAGTTGGCCAATTACTTTCTTTCTATTTATAGTGGAGACGGGGTCTTGCTCTTGCTCAGGCTGGTTTCGAACTCCTGATCTTGAGCAATCCACCCGCCTCGGCCTCCCAGAGTGCTAGGATTACAGGCATGAGCCACCGCTCCTGGCCGAGTTAAATGTTTTAACGGTGAAGAGTTTGGAGGAGCTTAGAAGTGAGCTCTGGAGGCAAGAAGATAGATGAAACAATTAGTCCAGTTTTCATTGTGTATTTGGTCAAGTAGACCTTGATTTTTCTGTTGCTAAAATTAAATAATAGTGATCTTTTCCCAAATATTGATTTGGGAAAATTTATTTATATAATAGTGATATTTCCCAAATTTTCTACAGGAAAAAAGTTTTAAGTCATGAGATAGAATTTTCTGAATTTTCCTTTTTTTCTCTAATAGAATTTTCCTTTTTTACTCCCATAAATTTTTTATTCCTTTGGTATGCTTAATAAGTAATGCTTATTAAGCATTACTTTTGGTATGCTTATCAAGTAATGAACACAGCAAATGACAGGTGAACAAGTTCATAACACCTATTTTAAGGTGTACTGAATAATGCAACTCAGGTTTCAAGTATTCCATTACCTGAACTAATTTTTCCTAACCTATGGGCTGGCACTGTAGAGTACCCTTAATGTGGGTTACCTCTCTCAGCCCACAGTCCTGAAGTCAGATTCCAAAATTTCAACTGTCTGGCCTTAAACTTCCTTCCCACCCAGCTCTAAGAAACTGGAATTCACACATAGGAAGGAGACCAAAATGGAAAGGGGCTTTAAACAACACCATAAGGAACAATTAAGGAAACCTATGACAAAGAAGACTTGGTGAAGGGCGCGTGAAAGTTGTCTTCAAGCACGTGTGAAAGAGAAATTAGATCTACCCTGTGGTTACAGAAGGCCAACCTAAGACGGGTGGGCAAAAGTTCTTACAGAGCTATTTAAGAATGAAGCAGTGCTGTCCGAGACAAGAGGTTGTGGGTTTCACGTTTCTGGAAGTATTTAAAAAGCAGGCTCAGTGGACATTTGTCAAAGTTACAGTAAAAACAGTGCATCTCGCAGGTTGAGATTTGAACTTCTAACTCTAAATGATACCTTCCTCTCTTTCTCTTTTTTAGAGAGAGGAGGAAACCTAGTCTGTATGTCTGAGTTTCTAGCTTGGAAATGAGAATTCAGACACAGGAACAAAGCTAGAAGCAGAGAGAGACGGAACTATAGATGAAGACAGTGGAGGTAGAGCATAGAGCAGGAGGAGAGTGAATAATGAGGCTCCTGGGGGGAGAAGTGGAAAGCAGGTGACTGATGGAAGAGAACGGCAAAGTGAGCAAGGCAGAGAAGGATGTCAGGGAGGAGATAAGTGTCCGTGTGAGGGTTCAGAGGAGGAAGAGGCCCTGGTGTCTGCAGAAAATAGTAGTAGTTTACCCAGAGAGAAGTGTGTAAGCCAGAGGATTACATAAACCACGTCACATAGAAGACACTTACATTTTAACAGAGGAACTTGGGTATAGGCTCTTGTTCACTGGCAGGGAGAACAAACAGAAGAAAGAAGACATGCCAGTGCAATGGGAGCTCTAGCAATCCCCCATCTTAAAAAGTCACACAAAGGAGACAACCTACAACTTGTTGATAAAGAGAATAAAGGCTAACTTATAACAATTGTGAATATTTGAAGAAATTTCAGATATGATCTCTGCTTTTAACCTGCTTTTTGACTTTACTCTCTGGAGCATCTTTTGAATGTATCTCTAGTCACCAAATATATTTTTCTCTTTCAGACAGAAGGCTACAAGCTATACAGGGACCTGAAGAACTTCCTTAGTGCAGTCAAAGGTGGGTATTACAGCACAAGAGAATCCAGAGGGCATTTATACAGCTACTAAGAGGTCTGGGGCATGGGGAAAAAAATATACCCAGATTTTTTTTTTTTTTTTTTTTGAGGCAGAGTCTCACTTTGTTGCCCAGGCTAGAGTGAGTGCTGTAGCATCAGCCTAGCTCACAGCAACCTCAAACTCCTGGGCTCAAGCAATCCTCCTGCCTCAGCCTCCCAAGTAGCTGGGACTACAGGCATGCGCCACCATGCCCGGCTAATTTTTTTTTTCCTATATATATTAGTTGGCCAATTAATTTCTTTCTATTTATAGTAGAGACGGTGGTCTCGTTCTTGCTCAGGCTGGTTTCGAACTCCTGACCTCAAGCAATCCACCTGCCTTGGGCTTCCAGAGTGCTAGGATTACAGGCGTGAGCCACCGTGCCTAGCCTATACCCATATTTTTTTCACTTGTCTGTCTTTCACTCCTGGGACTTTGGGGGCCAAGGAAGAGTGACTTTTCCTATCCCAGCCCCATCCAGCTTCCCTCACTAATGACCTAAATCTTCTGAGTTTGTCCTTCTGAATTGGACCCACTGATTTGTCACCCATAGGATTATACCAAACTACTTGTGGGAAAACTTTATGGTAGGACTGAATTCTTTCCTTTCAGTGATGCACGAAAGTTCAAAGAGAGTGTCAGAAACCCTACAAGAGATCTACAGCAGCGAGTGGGATGGTCACGAGGAGCTGAAGGCCATCGTAGGGGTAAGGGTGGCTTGGGCTTCACAACTTTTCAGCACTTATATTCCTGTTCCTATCCCCATCTCAACCTAGCTTCCCTCTCCAAGAACATAGTTAAACAAAAGAGCCAGTTCACTTTGTCCATTTATGTTGCCTCAGTCACTGGGTGTAGGAAGAAGCTGTAACTGTCAAGGTAAAAACAAATTTTCCCTAATCTGTGGATTAGTCTGGTTTTGACCTTCTCCCCCTCTTTAAGACCTTATGGAAGTTTTACCTCCTGAAGATTGGTTGTTTTTGAAAACTAATTTCATGCAGTTATTTACTCCCAAATTTCCCTGTCCTCTAAATTCTAGATTCCAAGGCTTTGACCATATGTTCCTGTTCTTAATCCCTGAATGTTTGTCCAGTCTCCTGCAGGGACTATTTCTTTTCTTCCTCTGACTCCTCCCCAGAATCCAACATAATACTAGCAATATCATGCTCCCTGGAAGGCAGTTGTTGTTCAGAAGTGAAACCTTCATCAGCCTTTGCCTTTATTCCACAGAATAATGACCTCCTTTGGGAAGACTATGAAGAGAAACTGGTTGACCAGGCTGTGAGAACCATGGAAAACTATGTAGCCCAGTTCAGCGAGATTAAGGTACTTGATTTACAGAATCAAGGCCGGGTTGTAGATGGCCCATCCAGGTTAGAGAACATACTGAGTTAAACTCCACAAGTAGAGTTAGAGCTTATGGTTAGGAATGAAGTTGGGTAAATTATGAGAAGGATTAAAACTGAGTGTTGGCGGGGCTCACGCCTGAAATCCTAGCATTGTGGGACGCCCAGGCTGGAGGATCGCTCAAGGTCAGGAGTTTCAGACCAGCCTGAGCAAGAGCGAGACTCCATCTCTACTAAAAATAGAAAGACATTAGCTGGCCAACTAAAAATATGTAGAAAAAATTAGCCGGGCATGGTGGCGCATGCCTGTAGTCCCAGCTACTCGGGAGGCTGAGGCCAAAGGATTGCTTGAGCCCAGGAGTTTGAGGTTGCTGTGAGCTAGGCTGGCGCCACGGCACTCTAGCCCAGGCAACAGAGTGAGATTCTGACTCCAAAAAAAAAAAAAGTATAATTTGATAAAGGACCCAGGAATCTTGCCTCTCTGCTTGGTACTCTGTTACTACATCCTGGCCACTGCAAAGTGAGTATCCACACCCTTTCTCATCACCATGGATTAGGAGAGGATCGCCAAGCGGCGTCGGAAACTCGTGGACTATGACAGTGCTCGACACCACCTAGAGGCCGTGCAGAATGCCAAGAAGAAAGATGAGGCCAAGATTGTCAAGGTTAGAAAATAAAAAGTAAAACCTGCTAAAACCTTCCTGTTTTTTCTTTCCATAGGCAGGTGGCTGAGCCAAGATGGATATAGGAAATGATAAATTCTGCATCCAGTGTCTCAAAGGAAATCCTTTTTTTTCTGACACTGATGCTGTAACGATAGTCAGAGTCTTTTTTTTTTTTTCTTTTTTTTACAATAACTGGCCTGACATAGAGTCTTGAGGCTGGGGAACACATGGGTCTGGGGAAAGAGAGGTGTGGCTCCAATTGAGTCTAGTCCCTGATGCTGCAGTGGCTCATACCTGTAATCCTAGCACTCTGGGAGGCTAAGGTGAGAGGATCGCTTGAGCTCAGGAGTATGAGACCAGCCTGAGCAAGAGTGAGACCCCATCTCTACTAAACATAGAAAAATTAGCTGGGCATTGTGGCACATGCCTGTAGTCCCAGCTACTCAGGAGGCTGAGGCAGGAGGATCACTGGAGCCCAGGAGTTTAAGGTTGCAGTGAGCTACAATGATGCCACTACACTCCTACCCAGGGAGATAGAGTAAGACTCTGTTGCAAAAATAAAAAAAAAATCCCAGTCTCTGAAAAAAATGCACAGGATAAAGGAGGCAGCCTTATCCTTGGGTTCAGGATTGAGGAGGATTGTCTTATCTCCTTACAACCTAGGCAGAGGAAGAGTTCAACAAAGCCCAGATTGTGTTTGAAGATCTGAACCAGGAACTACTGGAGGAGCTGCCTGTTCTTTATAATAGGTAATGATTGAGATTCCGGAAAGGGCTGGCTTCCTGGCAGCCCAAATATGTCACCTCATGGAAAAAGCCCTGGTTCAAGAGTGGTATATAGGTTGGGCGTGGTGGCTCACACCTGTAATCCTAGCACTTTGGGGGGCCAAGGTGGGAGGATCACTCAAGGTCAGGAGTTCAAGACCAGCCTGAGCAAGAGCGAGACCCTGTCTCTACTAAAGATAGAAAGAAATTAGCTGGACAACTAAAACTATATAGAAAAAATTAGCCGGGCATGGTGGCGCATGCCTGTAGTCCCAGCTACTCGGGAGGCTGAGGCAAAAAGATTGCTTGAGCCCAGGAGTTTGAGGTTGCTGTGAGCTATACTGACGCCACGGCACTCTAGCCCAGGCAACAGAGCAAGACTTGCAACTAACTTGCTCTGTGATACTAAGCAAGCTACTTTATCTCTCTAGACTCTAGTTTCTACATCTACAACACAGAGATAACCATCCTTGCTCTGCCAGCTTTTCTGGGTTTGAAGACAAGATGTTTCTTGGGTAGGAGAGATCTTGGCAAGTAATGTGCTGCCATGATGCACTCTAGGAGTATCTGCTTTCAAGCTCATATGTGTATTGTTTTAAATAAGCTTGGTTTATAACATGTAGATTTACTTAGACAGTAAACCATGGGATGATTATTTGCATTGATGAAGGTACCTTGGCTTCACAGTAGATAAAAGTGTTTTAGATTTAAATTTTCCTACTGAAAAAGAAATCTGGGAGAAACTCCTTTTGTATCCTATTTTCTTCTCATTGTACAAGATATGCTTTAATAACAATTGTAGTCAGAGTATTTTGTGTTGTTACTTAATATTAGTCCATGTATGATGGAGCCTTTTTAATGGCTACACGTATTATAAAACATTAATTATGTGACTCCTAATGCAAATAGAATTGAAATTTAATATAGTTTCTTTAAATGGAAACTTCCTTGATTCATTTATAGAAGAATTTTATTAATGTACATACAGGCATAGAAATCCTATACTGCATAAGGAGAAAGAATACTTATTATAACAATTATAATTATATGGCCTTACATTTATACAGCCCTTTTAAAAAAATTCTTCAAAGCACTTTCATGTCTACTTTAGTACCTCAAGAGCCCAAATCATATAACATCATGAAACTGTTAAACTTTGATGTCAGCCTAAGCTGATATTGTCTTCCCTGGCCTTCCTACTCCTAAGAGTCAGGTACATTCATGGCCCAGCTCTGATGAACCCAGATCCCAGAACATCCTGAGTCTAGGATGTGGGATGCCTTTCTCTGAGGAGCCTTGGTTGTAGCTGGTTTGGGCTTAGGTCTTACTTTGCATTTCAAATAACTCCTTCACCGTCACTTACCTCTCTGTGTTGTTTTGCTTTCTAATAGTCGTATTGGCTGTTATGTGACCATCTTCCAAAACATTTCCAACTTGAGGGATGTCTTCTACAGGGAAATGAGCAAGGTGAGAAACACCTGGCCAATTGAGACTGCTAGGTGTGTTTTTCTAATAAATATGAAGGTAGCCCTGATTTATATAATTTCTTTAAATATCCATATTGGCACCACAGATTTTGATTTTTATCTATGATGAAATAATAGCACTTGATTGCCTGTGTTAAACTATATTAAAGCACATATGTACACTACCAGAGAGCCCTTTCCGTCTCCCTTAGCAACTGAAAAAGTGCATCTAAGCTTGGGCTTCAGCATGAATAAAGGAGGTTAGGCCTGTGGAAGGAACAATTGAAATGGGTAACCAACTTGTGAAATCTCATCTATTGTTGCTAGAGAGCAGGAAGGTCAGTGTTTCAGCACAAATCAGTTTCTCAGGTCGTTGGTCTCGAATAGGACCAATGCTGGTCCTAGCTGTCAGTGATAGGCAGCTATATAACATAACCTTATGGGGTCTTTTCTAGTCCTTGGATTCCAAGATTCTTTTTTGCTACAATATTAATTATATTCACACAGCCACACATATTGCTCTTCACAGTTTCTTTGGCTATGGTATGATTTACCTAGTTAATATTAAAATGAGTTTTGAGTTTTCATTCCCTGGATCACCTGTGAGAAGCTAGAACCTCAAATCAAACACCAGTTATGGACCCTGCCTTGAGAGTGCTGCCAGTCTGGTGGAAGAGACAAGGAAGAAGGGGTGGTGGGAGAGGACCCTGGACATCAGTGCTAGAGAGATGAGGAGTTACTAATCAGAGTTGAAAGGGTGAGAAACTGTCTGAAGGAGAGGAGAGAAGGGATATGCCAGTTTCAGGTTCACATTTGGCTAGCATCCCTTTCTCTCTTGCTCACTCTAGCTGAATAACAATCTCTACGAGGTGATGAGCAAACTGGAGAAGCAACATTCCGACAAAGTCTTTGTGGTGAAGGGACTATCAAGGTGAGCAACTTCTGAGACTCTCTTCTGCTTTACTTGTCCTGTATGTATTCAGCATCCTCATCTGCACACATAAAATACTGTTTTGCATGTTTTTAAACTTTATATAAATGTATTTATACTGTATGTATTCTTCTGCAATTCAAAATCCTGACCTGTCCCTTATGTTCATGTGCATCATGTTTGTTATTTGTATTATGCCCCATAGAAATTATTTTCCTTAAATATTTCAGGCATAACTGAAAGTATTAAAAAAATACAACAAATAACCATATACCTACTACCAAATTTAAGAAATCAACTATTGCAAATATAGTTGAAGCTCCCAATGTCCCTTACCCATTCACTTTCTCTTCCTGCATACAAAAGGTAACCATTATGTTATATTTATTATTTCCATGCATGTCTTTCCACTTTTACTTCACATGTACATGTACATATAAAATAGTGTTTTCCATGTTTTTAAACATATGTATAAAATGGATTTATACGTATGTATGCTTCTGCAACTTCTTTTGTTCTTTTAATATTGTTTGTAACATTTATCCTTATTGCTGTATGTTGCTAGCTCTGTTCTTTGCTTTCCGTAACTGTTATGGATGTTATTATATGTCTAATTCATCATTGATTTATCTGTATTTTTCCTGCTAATTCAAGAAGACATTTGGATTGTTTCCAATTTTTTGCTATGAGAAATAATGTTGCAGGCCAGGCGCGGTGGCTCACGCCTGTAATCCTAGCACTCTGGGAGGCTGAGGTGGGAGGATTGCTCAAGGTCAGGAGTTCGAAAGCGCCGAGAAATGAGAGACCTGTCCTACGAAATAGAAGAAATTAATTGGCCAACTAAAATATATATAGAAAAAAAATTAGCCAGGCATGGTGGCACATGCCTGTAGTCCCAGCTACTTGGGTGGCTGAGGCAGGAGGATTGCTTGAGCCCAGGAGTTGGAGGTTGCTGTGAGCTAGGCTGACGCCACGGCTGACGCCACAGCACTCTAGCCCAGGCAACAGAGTGAGACTCTGTCTCAAAAAAAAAAAAAAAAGAAAGAAAGAAAGAATGTTGCAATGAACATGTTTTACATATTCTTGTGAATATTACAAGAGTTTCTTTAGAGTCTGTACTTAGAGTGAAATCGCTGATTCATAAGGTCTGTCACTAGGGCTTCTTGAGTCTTACTGGATATTGCCAAATTGCTCTCCAAAGTGATTGCTCCAGTCTACAACCTGTCAGCAGTGATTAAGAGCCTCCATGGCTTCACATTCTTACTAGACGTGAAATTGTCCGACTTCTTAATTCTTCCAAGCTCATGGGTATGAAATGGAATTTTTTGCAGTTTTAAGTCACAGTTCCACAATTGCTAGTTATCTTGAACATCTTTTCATGTTACTGGCCATTTAAGTTTCCTGTTCTGTGGCTTTCCTATTTATCCTTTTCCCATTTTTTTCTTTTCTTTTTTTTTATTATTTAAGACCTTTATTAACAGGTTCTTGCAGTTTGTTGACTTTTTTTCAAAAAGTCAAGTTTGTGAACTTTTATTACAAATTAAAAATGAAGTTCTTAAAAATCTCAACTTGACCAGATATGAAACAATTTAAAAACCTTTAAAGGCATAGAGAAAAACCAGGCTTTTTAAAAAATACGTTTGTTATTACCAAAAAAGACGTCTTTAGGTAAATATAATAAAAACCCCATGCTGCATAGATAATGCAGATAGTTGTAGTTATCTGGTAAACGGGCAAAAAGCAAGCACTTAAGGTCTTCAGTTCCAATCTTTTCTTCATTTCTTATTGCTGGAATTTCATATTCATTTCTTGTTGGATGACTAAACTGGACGATGGTAGAGATGGTAAGCCGGCATTTACTCAGCCCCGCCCTGCTCAGCCTAGGGAGCAGACGAATTCTCAGCTGGTGGATCGGCTGCTTTTGTCTCTTTGCCATCTGTGGTTTAGAGTTTTCTGGGCATCTGCGTTGGTAATTGAAGTTGCAGCGGTACCGACATTGAGGTGGCTGCTGACCTTGGGTCTCATCTCCTTGATTCTCTTCATCCTCTTCATTGCTGTCCTCTCTGGGCTGTCTTTGGTGAGGAGGGCCCCTGCGGAATCGTGGTCTATAACCCCGATACATATTCTGTCTTACTGGTGGTCTACCTTGTTCTCCTGCACCCTGGTTGTCAGCGCCCTCCATCACTTCTCCCTGTACAGGAGGGTTGGAATCCTGTGGTCCACGTCCCTAGGGTCTCCCCATGTAGTAAGGTGGGAACCTTTGCCTGCGGCAGGGCCGGCATAGTTGGACCTGGCCTTCAGGAGAACTCTCCGATCCCTCATTCTTTTCCCCACTCTCACTGTGCTGATAATTCTGCTGGTACTTGCGTGGAGGACCCCTGCGACATGGACAGCGTCTATAATGGTTACGGTCTGCTGCATATTTATTGCCTTGAACTGGAATGCCACCAGGGCCTGTAACATTTGCTGCCTCCGCGCCCTTTTCTCCTTCAACAACATCAAACTCCACAGTCTCTCCATCTCCTACACTGCGGAGGTACTTCCTGGGGTTATTCTTCTTTATGGCAGTCTGGTGTACAAATACATCTTCCTTGGTGTCATTCCTGTTGATGAAACCATATCTGTTTCTTACATTGAACCATTTTACTGTCCCCAAAACCTTCCTTGCGATCACCTTCTTGTCCCCACTGGCAGGCGCTGCTGATGTAAGGCCGCGCGGGCCACCGCTCCCTGCGCTGCGGGTGGTGCCGGGCTTGGTGTCTGCAGTGTTGAGGGCAGGGGCAGCAGGCGGCTGCTGGGTCTCTGCCTCTGGGCTCATAGTTGTGGTGACGGTGACTGGGGCTGGCTGCGGCACTCTGGGGTCTGCTCTCTGCTCTCGCTACGATCAAACTCTTTTCCCATTTTTTAATTGGATTGTTAAACCTTTTCGAAAAACTGATTTATATGAGTTTTTTTTTTTTAGTTTTTTTTTTTTTCTATCCCTTTATTTTCAGTCTATGCATCTCTTTATAGGTGAAGTGAGTTTCTTACAAACAACATATAGCTGGCTCTTATACTTTTATCCACTCAGCCGCTCTATGTCTTTGGATTGGAGAGTTTAGTCCATTCATATTCAATGTTATTATTGATACGTAAGGACTCATCCATGTTATTATTTGATTTTTGGTTGTTTCAAGATCCTCTCTTTTCTTTTTTTTTTTTTTTGAGACAGAGTCTCACTTTGTTGCCCAGGCTAGAGTGAGTGCCGTGGCGTCAGCCTAGCTCACAGCAACCTCAAACTCCTGGGCTCAAGCGATCCTTCTGTCTCAGCCTCCCAAGTAGCTGGGACTACAGGCATGCGCCACCATGCCCGGCTAATTTTTTCTATATATATTAGTTGGCCAATTAGTTTCTTTCTATTTATAGTAGAGACGGGGTCTCGCTCTTGCTCAGGCTGGTTTCGAACTCCTGACCTCGAGCAATCCGCCCGCCTCGGCCTCCCAGAGAGCTAGGATTACAGGCGTGAGCCACCGCGCCCGGCCTATATGAGTTTTTGTTTATTTGTTTTATTAGTTTGTTTGTTGGTATATTCTGGATACTAATCCTTTAATTGTATGCATTGCAAATATCTTTGGCTTCCTTTTTCGGTCTCCTTTTGTGGTGTCTTTTGCCTTCATACTTTCTTCATACCAGTAAATGTAAGCAACTCACTGGTCTGTCAGAATGTGATCACTTGCTCATGCTGAAGCCTTTGTTTAGAAAGTGTTATTAAGCTTCTTCTATGCACGGGATTTAATGCTGGGTATTAGGAATCCAGAGACATAGGAGACTTGTCCTTTCCCTAAAGTGATTTACAGAAAGTTGGAAGTATAGAAAATGTGACTAAGGAAACAAAGAATGATATAAGCTTGCACATACTAAGCACCTAAAATGAGACCACTAGGAATTCCAAAGAGGTAAGTAATTGCCAGTGTGCAGATGGTTAGGGAAGGCTTTAAGGAGTTGGTGAAACTGAGCTTGGGACTTGAAGGAAGAATAGGGCTCACATTTGTTGTTTGCATTAGTCATTTAGCAATTAGTTACGGACTATTGAAAAGAATCACTAAAGAGGCAATGTAGACTTCCTAGACAAATTTCCTTTTGCTCCAAAAGCTCTCTTTCTCTTCTTCCAAGCATTGAAAACCAGAGTTCTTTATAACTGTCTATTCTTCCCAAACTGACCATCATTTACACTGAGATGTCCCAGAACCTTGATGTCTTGAGCCTTCTAAACTTACTGACTCCCAGAATGCTAGTGCTAGAAGGAACCTATGTCCTGCTTGTCCCACATCAGAAACTCCCATAGGGTAGGAACTAAGTTTCTCTCTCCTTCCTCCTCTTCCTCTTCCTCTCCCCCTCCCCATGTCCCCTCCTTGTGCCCAGGACACAGCACATAGTTGGCACCTGTCAATTTTATATTTGTGGGCTACTTAATCAGTTGATGGACAGTACATAAACACAGTATCCAGCACATTTATCATAACTTGATAAATGTTACGGTTGATTCTTATTTGTAGGAGTTATGCTTTATAAAGTTACTACAACACTGAATACTACTGAACCATTGCTTGTAGGAGAAACACAGGATAGATTCCTGTGAGCCTCTATTTTTCTTTTTCTTTTCTTTTTCTTTTTTTTTATTTTTAAATTTATTTTAACCTACCATTGCGAACATATCCTGTGAGCCTCTTGTCACAACATTTTCATCAACCAACCAGTACGTAACCTTGTTTTATTTGAGTTTCTGTGTAAAGACACCTTATTTAATATATATTGTTGATTCATTGATATTGAACTCATAACCAGCAGCACTGTAACTCATGCCTGAATGAAGCTTATCTAACATATGTATTTTCTCTGTAAGGCACATCACAGTCTTCTTACACTTAGCTTGGGGGCGGTCTTAGGTAGCAAAATCACCAACAAAAACCACAGAAGTGTGAAAAACATGGTGAAAAGGACTCTTGTTTACAGTTTGAGAGCTGACACAAGAAGGCAGATTGATGCCTTGTTAGACCTCAGCTGGGAAAGTGCATGTCAGGCAACTGTCTTTCGCCACTTCTGCATGTCCACAAATGACTGGGAAAGTACCGCAAGTACTAATTAAGGGTTACAAATAAGTAGGGAGGCAAATTCACAGATATGAAATCTGTGTGGATCAGCTCTATAATGACCTTAATCTTTTCCCCAGAGGAAATATTTGTTAATATTTTGCTATATTTCTTTTTCTATAAATATTTTTACATAATTAAGATCATGATATAAATAAAATTTTATAGTCTTTTTTCACTTCACTAAGTATTATTACAAATTATACAAACTTTCTAACATTTTAATTTATTTTATTCTGTTTTATTATTATGTGCCTGCATTATAATTTATTTTTGTATATTTAGGTTACTTCTAGTTTTTAGCTCTTCTAAATCAGAATGCCCTTCCTTTTTTAGCAGCAGCAGGCGCTCTTTAGTCATTTCTTCCCCAGTCCGAACATCTACAGTCTCCAGCTCTCTTAGCTCACCTACCAGTCCTTCTGCACTGTCCTTGAAGGATGAGAATGAATCTGCCTCGGCAACTGAAGAAGACCTGGCACCTGATGCAGCCCAGAGAGAAGACAATTCTGAGATCAAAGAAGAGCAAGAAGAGTCCTTAGAAGATGAGGAAACAGAAGAGGAAGAGTCTGAAACAAGTTCTTCTGAGGAGGAAGAGTCTCTACCAGCCTGCAATGGCCCAACCCAGGCCCAGCCCTCTCCCTCCATTGAGGGTGATAAACCCCAGAAGGGAGTTCTCCCTTGCTCTGCAGCAACATCACCAGGCAGAGCCCTGATTCCTTCGGAATCAGAGGAGCCCTCATCTGCCCCAGAAGTAGTCCTCCGAACCCGTACCTCAAGTGAAGGATCTGAACAACCAAAGAAGAGAGCCTCTATCCAGAGGACCTCAGCACCACCTACTAGGCCTCCTCCACCCAGAGCCACTCCGAGCCCCAGGCCATCCTCGGGGAACATACCCTCCAGCCCTCCAGCCGCTGGAGGGGGTTCTCCCACCAGCCCCAGGGCCTTCTTGGGTACTGGGACTCCAAGTCCTAGAGCCTCCTTAGAGGCCTCTTCTAATCCAGAACCACCAGAGAAGCCAATAAGAACTCCTGAGGCCAAAGAAAAGGAAAACACCCATAATCCAAACCCAGAAGAACTTTGTACTTCCCCCACCATGATGACTCCTCAGGTAAGAGTGGATCTGGTTAGGTCTCTATTTCCTTTATTATATTTTTTTTCAGAGATGGGGTCATGCTTCAGTGCAGTGGCACAATTATAGCTCATTATAGCCTCAAACTCCTGGGTTCAAGTGATCCTCCCTGCTCAGACTGCAAAGTGGATGGGACTATAGGTGTATGCCACTGTGTCCAGATATCTCTTAAAAAAAATTTTTAGGCCGGGCGCTGTGGCTCACGCCTGTAATCCTAGCTCTTGGGAGGCCGAGGCGGGCGGATTGCTCAAGGTCAGGAGTTCAAAACCAGCCTGAGCAAGAGCGAGACCCCGTCTCTACTATAAAATAGAAAGAAATTAATTGGCCAATTGATATATATATAAAAAATTAGCCGGGCATGGTGGCACATGCCTGTAGTCCCAGCTACTCGGGAGGCTGAGGCAGAAGGATCGCTCGAGCCCAGGAGTTTGAGGTTGCTGTGAGCTAGGCTGACGCCATGGCACTCACTCTAGCCTGGACAACAAAGGGAGACTCTGTCTCAAAAAAAAAAAAAAAATTTTTTTTTTTTTTTTTTTATTTATTTATTTTTTTTATTACCTCCAAGGTTCTGCTTGAAAAAAAAATTTTTAGTAGAGACAGGGTCTCACTGTGTTGTCCAGGCTGGTCTCAAACTCCTGGACTTAAGCAATCCTCCCCCCAACAGCCTCCCAAAGTGTTGGGATTACAGGCGTGAGCCACTGCGCCAGGCCTTTGTTCTTTTTTATAACCTCCATGTAGATCAACTTTACTATAGTCAGGTTGTCCCATAGTTGATAAGTATAGTCTCAAGAAACTTGGATACCTTTTTTTTTTTTTTTTTTTTTTTTTTTTTTTTTTTTAATAAAATTCTTCGACACCAAACAATCACTCTAAGGATACCTTTTTTTGGTTCTTTTTTTTTAAATTTTTTTACTGACATCAGCTGTACCTAGGGAACCTTTTTTGGTTCTGGTGATTGTTTCCTGTCTTCACAGCAATTAATTCAGTAATCTACTCTTAGGGTAACTGACTCCTACAAAGGGCTTATCTCTAATATTATGAGCAGATTCTTTTTTTTTTTTTTTTATGAGCAGATTCTTATTAATTTCTTTATTTTCTTCCAAATTCTTGGAGTTCCTAATATAAAGAACCTACAAATGGCATCCTGTGCTTTACCTTTTTTAATGGGATTGTGAGGGAAGATCTAACTTCAGTTTATTATACCTGTGCCTGTGGCGATAGACCCTGAGAAAAATGGTAGCACATTTCCAGGGTGTATCTTCTTTGATGATAGAGACCTAGAAGCAGGAACTCACAGAGGGAAATAAAGAATAGCAAAAGGGGCCAGGCATGGTTGCTCATGCCTGTAATCCCAGCACTTTGGGAGGCTGATGCAGTAGGATCACTTGAAGCCCAGGAGTTCTAGACCAGCCTGGTCTATAGAAAGACCATGTCTCTACAAAAAATAGAAAAATTAGCTGTGTGTCGTGGTGTGCACCTGTAGTCCCAGCTACTTGGGAGGCAAGAGGATTGCTTAAGCCCAGGGGTTTGAAGTTGCAGTGAGCTATGATAATGCTACTACAGTACTCTAGCCCAGGTAACAGCAAGACCCTATCTCAAAAACATAAAAGAAATTAAAATTTAAAAAAAGAGGAAAGCAAAAGGGATAGCCTTTTGAAAGGTGAGAATATAGATAAGAAAAAATTGAGAGATACCCATTGGAGAGCAACTATTTCTGTGAAGGATCTGGAAATCAAGTCATATTCTATTCAAATTATATGAAAGGCCATCATATAGATGAGGGATTTGACTTATTCTGGGAGACTCCAGAGGACAGAACTAGGTAGGCCCTATGTAGAAAGATTTTTTTTAATGGTACATTGGGATAAATATAAGAGGAGCTTTCAGCAATTAGCTTCATTTAAAAAATGTAATGAAAAAAAAATTTTTTTAATTATAGGAGAAGGGCAAAGGAGGCACAAGTTGCTGATAAAAAGCAAAATGGGATGGGCCATCTTGAGAAATAGTTTTCTTTCCTTGATGTTAAGAGCTAAGGATAGGCTGGGCATAGTGGCTCACACCTATAATCCTAGCATTCTGGGAGGCCAAGGCAGAAGGATCGCTTAAGTTCAGGAGTTCAAGACCAGCCTGAGCAAGAGCGAGACCCTGTCTTTACAAAAAAAAAAAAAGTAGAAAAATTAGCTGGGCTCTGTAGTCCCAGCTACTCAGGAGGCTGAGGTAGGAGGATTGCTTGAGCCCAGGAGTTTGAGGTTGCTATAAGCTATGATGACGCCACTGCACTCCATTCCAGGTGACAGAGCAAGATTCTGTCTATAAATAAATGAATATATAAATAATAAAGAAGTAAATAAAAAGTAAGTAAGGAAGATCGACAATGGGGGTGTATTGTAGAGAGGATTATGATGAGGTGTCTGACTAGATGGCACCAAGATTTATTCATTCATTCCACAATTACTTATTGAGCCCCTGCTATGTGCCAGGCACTTTTTTAGGAGGTAGGGTACAACAGTGAACAGCAACACAAAAAAATCCCCTTCCTTCCTGGGGCTTATATTCTAGTGCAGAAAGACACACAAGATAAAAAATAAATAAGTAAAATTACAATCTAGTGGGGATAAGAGATATGAAGAAAAATGAAGTAGGGGAGGGCACAGGAAGTTGGGGCTGAATCTCAAGTTTATCCAGAGTGGTCAGAGATGACATTTGGGTAGTGAAGAAGGCCAGGACATGAGCTATATGAATATCTGGAAAAAGTGTCTGAGATTTCTGGTGCCCCTCCGATCACACCACCCTACTACCACCTATACCTAACCTAAGATTGACCTTGGGAACCTCCTGCTACCTGAGAGGGGCTAATATGGACAAAGGGCATAAGGGTGGCATCCAGGGTGCAAAGGTGTGGGACTTTCTCCTATATTGTTTACTTCAATTCACAGGTTTTTTCAGAGCCTGAAACAGCAAGGAAGATGGAAGACAAGGAAGAGAACAATAAGCTTATTTCAGCTGAATCCCCTGAGGTACTGAAATCTAAGTGACCAACATTATTGTGCCCTCAGCCTTTATTTTTTTTTTTTTGAGACAAAGTCTCGCTTTGTTGCCTAGGCTAGAGTGAGTGCTGTGGCGTCAGCCTAGCTCACAGCAACCTCAAACTCCTGGGTTCAAGCAATCCTTCTGCCTCAGCCTCCCGAGTAGCTGGGATTACAGGCATGCGCCACCATGCCCGGCTAATTTTTTCTCTATACATTAGTTGGCCAATTAATTTCTTTCTATTTATAGTAGAGACAGGGTCTCGCTCTTGCTCAGGCTGGTTTCGAACTCCTGACCTCTCAAGCAATCCGCCCGCCTCAGCCTCCCAGAGAGCTAGGATTACAGGCGTGAGCCACCGCGCCCAGCTGTGCCCTCAGTCTTGATTCACTTGAGGTATTGAAGGCCCTAACAGAGCAAGATATATTAATAAAACTTTTTCTTAAACCGATCACAGTGTTGTGCGCCTATAGTCTCAGCTACTCAGGTGGCTGAGGCAGGAAGGAGGATCACTTAAGACCAGGAGTTTGAGGCTGTAGTGTGCCATAATGGTACCTATGAGTAGCCACTGCACTCCAGCCTGGGCAACATGGTGAGAACCTATCTCTAAATTAAATTTAAAAAAAAAAGCTTTTCATTGGCTGGTTCCTAGTCTGAGACAGCTATGTTGATTAAGAAAGATATGCAAGACATGTGGCCAGTAAATAACAACAGGACGTGAGCAGTTAAAGTATAGCAGGTCTCATTTCTATCTCTCTCCACTGAAAAGAGCAATTCAATGGTATAGAAAATCCAAAATTAATTCAATTTGAGGCTGAGCAGGGCGGCCCATGCCTATAATCACAGCACTTTGGGAGGCCAAGGTGGGAAGATTGCTTGAGGTCAGGAGGCTGACACCAGCCTGGGCAACATAACAAGACCCTCTCTCTACAGAAATTTTTTAAAATTAGCTAGGTGTGTTAGTGTGCACTTATAGTCCTAGCTACTTGGGAGGCTGAGGTGGGAGATGGCTTGAGCCCAGGAATTTGAGGTTACAGTGAGCTGTGATTGTGTCATTCACTCCAGCCTGGGCAACAGAGTGAGACCCTTTCTCCAAAAAAAAAAAAAAATTTGATTTTACTTTGTAATGTATTACATGATTTTATATGTCTGATCATTTTAAGGAATAGGCTAGTAACACTGTTCTCCCTGGGGAAGAGGTATGGATACAACCTCCTTTCCTCTGAGGCTCTTAACTCCTAGCATCTCCAGTAGGATGGCTTTGGTCATCTAAGGTAACATATTTATCCTGTGGAATTAAGCAACTAGAGCATCTTAGATCCTATCAGGGTCACCTATCCTCTGAAGCTTGTATTCTACAAGATTTGCTTACTTCTCTTGCAGGTGTATCATAAGTCATATTTTCTCTCAAGCAGAATTATGGATATACCACATGTAAAAATGGGTAAATAGAAATATAACTAGGGAAAAAGTCTGTTCTTGCTCAGCATTTGAATCATCTGAGAAAGAAGGAAGGTTTTGATAACTTTCTGGGAGGCCATATTACCTTTGAGCTAATTTATGGCCTGGAAAGGGGAGGAGGGAGTAAGAAGGAAATTTTCCTTAAAGGAGAAATCACAGAATTTCAAGTGGCTATTACGTTGTTAGAAATTGGTTCTATTTTAAAAGATGGATTTTATAGGTTATGAGTTAAATTTCAATTAAAAAAATTGTTTTAAACCTCAGGGTACCAAAGTCTTTTCCTGGGATAGCAGTTCCTAAACAGGGTTTTTCTTTCTTTTTTTTTTTTTTTTGAGACAGAGTCTCACTTTGCTGCCCAGGCTAGAGCGAATGCCGTGGCGCCAGCCTAGCTCACAGCAACCTCAAACTCCTGGGCTCAAGTAATCCTCCTGCCTCAGCCTCCTGAGTAGCTGGGACTATAGGCATGTGCCACCATGCCCGGCTAATTTTTTATATATATATTAATTGGCCAATTAATTTCTTTCTATTTATAGTAGAGACGGGGTCTCACTCTTACTCAGGCTGGTTTCGAACTCCTGACCTCGAGCAATCCACCCGCCTTGGCCTCCCAGAGTGCTAGGATTACAGGCGTGAGCCACTGCACCCAGTCAGATCCTATCTCTAAAAGAATTAAAAATAAATGGAGGGAAAAAAACTAAGATAAAAATATACATGTTACAATAGGCCAATGAATCATCAGAATCATCAACATCACTGTCTTCCACCTTCACATCTTATCCCGTTGGAAGATCTTCAGGGTCAGTAACAGGCATAAAGTTGTCATGTCCTATGATATCAATGTCTTCTTAGATATCTCCTGAAGGACCTGCCTGAGGATGTTCTGCAGTTAACTGTTTTTTTAATAAGTGAAAGGAGTACACACTAACATAACAATAACAAGTATAGTATAGTAAATACATACACCAGTAACATAGTTGTTTATTATAAAGTATTATGTCTTGTATGTAATGCCATGTGTTATACTTTTATACAACTGACAGTGCGGAAGGTTTGTTTACACCAGTATCACCACAAATGTGTGAGTAATGCGTTATGCTGTACTGTTACAACAGCTACAATGTCACTGGGTGATAGGATTTTTTAGCTCAATTATAATCTTATGGGACCACTGTCATATATACAGTCCATGATTGACTGAAACATCATTATGCAATGCATGACTGTATGTGTCATATACAATATACTTTCATATATACACACACAACATAGCCAAATAACTCAGAAATATATGAGACAAGACAGTGACACAAAATGAAGCCATGAATTAAAGTACAAAAAATGCATTCTATGAAATAAATTTATTACAGATGGATCATAAAATTGATTCCATACTTTCTAATATCCAAGAAGAGAGAAACCTTGTCAGTTCACTCATTCATGATGCCCATTATAAAGACATGGTGAATGATATAATGAACAATATCTGCAACAAGTTCTAACAATAATCCCAACAGCGAGTTTCACATTGTGCCCCTCAGTACAGACCAGTGGCATTACATGAAATACAATTCAATAGAAGCAAGTTGAGTTTTTACCCCACTTAAGTGGTTGATGGGAGGGCAGGCCAGCAGCTAATACAAGCATGTTTATTTTCCAGGTATCTACAAGTCAAAATGCACAACTCTGAAGAGAAATTGCCAAGCCTCTCCCATACACATGCCTCTCCAGAGAAGCTCCTCAGCTAGAGGGTATAGGTCAGAGGGATATAAGAGCCAGCATTCATTACTAGATTCTCAGACAGTATGAATGCTGGTGGTCTCTAAAACCTGGCATTATTGAAAGCTGAGGAACAGCTTATGGGAGGGAAGGAGGCAAGCAGTCTTGAGAGAAGAGAATGTTAGACTCAGGGAATACTTAATTCAGGTTTTAGCATTTTTAGAAGAATAAGACTCTATGTATCAATTAAAATGGGGCTATAATGCAAAAGTATCTATAGACAAACATTTTTCCACACAGAGACACATAACCACACATACTCAGAGAATAGTGAACAAATCTGTCTTTGACTTACCACTCATTTTGCAAGACTTAAAGCCAAAAGAATAAATTTTCAGACTGTTAAATTAAGTATGATTCTGACTGTATATGATTCTTTTGTTTGATACAGGGCATTACTCCAGCCCAGCACACTGTTCTCCTCTTGGGCAAGGTTATTGATTCTGCCCCAGGTTCAGAAAGCTTTAGTTGCATCCCTCACCCCTAGCTCACCCTACCTCCTAGCTGTAATGATGATGTCAGGGGACACAGACTTCTCTCCTCAATCCAGATATGCTACTGCATGCCCTCCCCTCTTTGGTTAATGAGCAATTACCCTTGGAAAGGGGTTATATTTTGGAGTTCTATCTAGTGTTCACAATCTAATATTTGGTATGAATAAGGATCTAAGCCGGATGTTGGAAGATAAGAAACTCCAAGTGAAGGTAAAGGATGCAAAGTATAATAATAATATCATGGAAATGGCATGAAATTTGGAGTCAGGAGTCCTGGATTCAAATTCTTTCATTTGCTTTCCATGAAAATATTTGTGAAAACATTAAAAGTAGCTCTGAAGTCCTGCCACCTTGATAAATACACATAAACATGCAAACACTCTTCCATCTTTGCTCTTGCTTTTAGAGATATCACCATTTGTTCAGTCCGTCAGCAAGCATTTATTAAGCATCAACTCTGTGCCAAGCACTGAGAACTAGTACTAGGTATGGGGGAAACAATGAGGAGGGGGAAAGAAAGTAAGATATTTAAAGAGACAATGGGAATATTGAGCAGGGAGCTGAATGGGCAGGATTTTGTGATGGGATAAAAGAGGACACATGATGAAGACTGAGGTTTTAAGGAAGGTTTAAGCCTAGGTTAGGCTTGAGAAAAAAGAATTTAGTGGTGCCATTCCCTGAAACAGTGACTATAGGAGATAATGTATTTATATGGGTTCTCTGGTTACAAGCAACAGATAGACAAAATTAACATTAAAGGATATGTCATAAGGATATCAGGCAGCTCATAGAACTGAAAGAATAACCAGGCTACAGGAAAGAATGAGCCAGCCCAGGGATGTCTACAGCAGGAATATATGGACAGTTCCTCAAGGCAGCTGCCATTGGAAGACTCAGCTTCAGCTACCACCTGCCAACATGTCCTCCCGAAATCCAAACTCCTTAGAGAAAGAATCTGACTGGCCCAGTTTGCATGATGTGTCCATCCTATGACCAGGGAAATGGAAAACTGGCACTATTACTGTGGGAGTGGGGAGGTGGGGGTTGGGGGAGGCACATTGGTGTCTATGACTAGAAGATCAATCAGTGGTGGTAGGGGTTACTGGTGAGGAGGGTGGATTCAAAGACGAGGAAACTTGGGGGGATGATAGAAATGTTCTTAATTTTGATTATGGCGAGAGTTTTATCAGTATATACATGCTTCAAAGCTTATAAAATTATATATTTTATGGGCAGTTTATTGTGCATCAGTTATGCCTTGATTAAGCTATATAAACAAACCTTAGGAGTCTCCTACAAGCATTGGACACAAGGAGTTTGAGGTACTTGTAGGATTTTCCAGTAGATGTGTCCATTAGGGAACTGGAAATGAATGTTTATATTTGGGAGTCATTTTTTTTTCTAAAATTGAATCCTGTTACTCTTTAAAAAGCGTAAGGATCTCTACTGTGTACAGCAGTAATGGGGAGGTGGTTGCATTCCCCCCTTGAGGGGAGGGTGGCTTTTCAAATTATAAAAGCCCTACTGCCTCACTGCCTCTCTTAATATTTTTCCTAGAAGGCATTCCACTCCCTTGGCATTCAGAACCACTGCTGGGAGTGCTACAGGGAAAGCCCTGGGAATATAGGCCTCTAGCTGTACAAGGTCCTTCAAGATCTGCTTGGAATGCCCCTCCCATGTTGATCTGCAAAACGGTTCAAATTTTTCCTGTCCAGGGCTTTCCCTGACCCTCATATTTGGGGTGTGGCAGAGAAAACTTCTTGGGAAGTTTTCTGGTGAGGGAGAGCTGCAGTAACTGGTGCAATAGAGGTACAATTGAAGCGGAAAATTTCACTAAATTGTGAGGTTAGCACATTGTTTGCATATGACCCTACTGAAGGCTCTAAGGAGTCGGGAAAGGGCTAGCATGCTTATCTGGGGTGGATAGTACCATTCGGAAACAAAATTGCTTACCTGGATTTACAAAATGGTAGAAAGGCTGGGGCTTAGGAGACTGCTATTCTGGCAGCAACACAAGATGGGGCTGAATGCCAGTAAAATTGGGTAGAGATGAATATCTTTCGTCCTCTACCCTGAGGCCCCTGGAGGTTTGTTGACAAAAGGATGGCTGCTCCAGTTTCTGAGGTTTAGCATTTAATCCTTGGAGAACACTGGCAGTTCACCATCACATGAGGGTTCATCATCTATCTATATGCATATGTACATAGAGTTAATTACAAAAGCTTCACCCAGTCCATGCCCTCCAACAATTTGAAGGATCATACTGATAGACTGGGTAAGAAAGAGAACTCTAGAAACATGACATAATCCAGGATAAATAGGATACGCCAAAGAGCATACTACGCACACAGCTTACAATAGTCTTTATTTTACGCCAGACTGGATGCTGAGCATGGGCATATAGGATCCTATTTTTCTGAATGTTTATACTTTTAAAATGAGGTATGAGGCTGGGCATGGTGGCGAGTGCGCAAAATAGTATATCCAGCCGGGCGCGGTGGCTCACGCCTGTAATCCTAGCACTCTGGGAGGCTGAGGCGGGCGGATTGCTCCAGTGCAGGGAGTTTGAAACCAGCCTGAGCAAGAGCAAGACCCCGTCTCTACTATTAATAGAAAGAAATTAATTGGCCAACTAATATATATATAGAAAAAATTAGCTCAGCATGGTGGCAAGTGCCTGTAGTTCTAGCTCCTCAGGAGGCTGAGGCAGGAGAATTGCCTGAGCCCAGGAGTTTGAGGTTGCTGTGAGCTAGGCTGATGCCACGGCACTCACTCTAGCCTGGGCAACAAAGTGAGATTCTGTCTCAAAAAAAAAACCCTAAGACACAGAGCCAGATGTAGTGGCACACACTATTGTCCCAGCTACTCAGGAACTTGAAGTGGGAGATTCATAAGAGCCCAAGAGTTCAAATCCAGCCTGTCCCGGTAACATAGTAAGATCCCATCTCTATTTTTTTATTTATTTTTATTTTTTTTTGAGACAGAGTCTTATTTCGTTGCCCAGGCTAGAGTGAGTGCCGTGGCGTCAGCCTAGCTCACAGCAACCTCAGACTCCTGGGCTTCAAGCAATCCTGCTGCCTCAGCCTCCCGGGTAGCTGGGACTACAGGCATGCGCCACCATGCGCAGCTAATTTTATACACACACACACACACACACACATACTTATATATATTAATTGGCCAATTAATTTCTTTCTATTTATAGTAGAGACGGGTCTCACTCTTACTCAGGCTGTTCAACTCGCTGACCTCGAGAATCCACGCCGTCTGGCTCCCCAAGGTGCAGGATTACGGGCGTGGAGCCACTGCACCAGTCAGATCCTATCTCTAAAGAATTAAAAATAATGGAGGGAAAAAAACTAAGATAAAATATATACATGTTAAATAGGCCAATGATATCATCATAGAATCAATCAACATCACTGTTTCCACCTTCATACGATCTTATCCCGATTGAAGATCTTCGGTCAGTAACAGCATAAACTTCATCTATGGGAGTCTGAAATTGTATGAGCACTGGAACGTCCTCCTCCTACATACCTGGAGGTGATGTCACGCGTGAGAGGACCGGCATGAGATTGTTCTACCAGGAGTCAGACGAGAGATGCAAGCTGAGTTTTTTTAATAAGATCCGATAGCAGGAGTACACCCGATCCCCATGGCACCCCAGGCGAACATGACAATAACAAGTATTATGCCTATTGGAAGCGCACCAGAAGCATATACATATTCCTGAGTGTAAACAGCCCTTAGCTTATAATAAAGTATGTGTAGTTGCTCGCATGTTTATGAGTAAAGGCCTCAGATCGCCAATTGTGTATTGACTTTGTAGGATACAGACTAAACAGTGCGGAACACCGTTCTCTTTCTCTACACCAGTATAGGGGCGAGCGCGAGCGAGGAGGTCGTGGAGTAAGTTGCGCCATGCAAGTAGCTTGTACTTGGTGACACAACCATCCAGCTACAATGTCACTGGCGATAGGATTGTCTTTAATGAGCGTCAATTAAAAATCTTATGGGAGCCGGCCCCCACTTGTCATTGACTACTACGCGCGGGCGAGTGCGCGAAGAGACATGAAACATCAATATGCACATGCATGACTGTATCGTGTCATATACAATTATATGCTGCTGCTTTTTTTCTTTTTTTTTTATTTTATATTAATATTATTATTATTTTTAATTATTTATAATTTATAATTATAATTTATTTAAATGGTTTAGGGGGACTGCTGACCCGCAAAAAAAGGAGGGGGGGAGGAGAGGGGAGGGAAGGAGAATAAAAAGGAACAAAACCCCCCCTACTTTCATATACATAACCAACGACACCACATAGCCAATAACTCAGCAAATATATGGACAAGACAGTGACACAAAATGAAGCCCATGAATAAAAATAACACAAAAAAAAAGAAAAAAAAAAAAATAACCAAAAAATGCATTTCTATGACAATAAATTTAATTACAGATGGATCATAATTGATTCCATACTTTCTAATAAATCCAGGAAAGAGAGAACGCTTGTCAGTTTCACTCATCTGATGTCCCATTATAAAGACATGGTGAATGATATAATGAACATATCTGCAACATTCTAACAATAATCCCAACAGCGATTTCGACCATCTGTGCCGCCTCAGTAGCAGACCAGTGCATTACATGAAATACAATTCATAGAAGAAAGTTTGAGTTTTTACCCACTTAAGTTTGATGGAGGGCAGGCCAGCAGCTAATACTATCATGTTTATTTTCCGGTATCTACAAGTCAAATGCAGCAACTCTGAAAAATTGCCAAGCTGCTCCATACAATGCCTCTCGCAGAGAAGTCTCAAGCTTAGAGGGTAATCGGTCAGAGGA